TGTAGTAATCGGTACAGTTTCTGATAACTGCAGGGAGTATATTCCAGATTTTGAGGCTCTCACTGAAAATACAGAATTGCCAAATGTAAATTTAATCAAAAGTATCCAGCAGTAACTATAGTGAGTGGTGTCCCAGACATGTGTGAAGTTTACAATTTGTTAGTCTGATTGCTCAAAAGTTTATGAAAAACCTAAACACAGCTCACATACCACACACAAAATGAGACAACACATGATGCGCACAGCAGATTCACTGTGATTATGTAACAACACTGTCCTCTAACTTGTCCATGAACACATATATATGAATTACTTTGAAACAGGTACAGGAAGTGTTGGAAATATATGAAATCCAGCGTTTCTGTTGACCTTATCCATTCTTTTGTTTTGAAAAAGCATTTTTATTGTGAAATATTTGCAGGAGCGGAAGATGCACAGCTTCATGCTGTAAAGTACTGGTATTTATTTGAGTACACTGGAGTACTATTATATATTCTCATATTTGTGGCCATATTCAAGGCAAAGCCAATGCAAAAACATTTGGCTGCAGTAGCAGCTCCACTGCAGAAAATATTGTTGAACTGAGAAGATAAATATAGTGCCTTGAACAGATACTGTAAATGTGAATTGATATTAATGTGAATATTGTACCTAGACAGATAAAGTTGCATAACTGCTTTTCTTTGTGTATATTAATGCTCGTACAAAAATAACAAATATGACCCACATAAATGCTTCTTTGGAAGATATCAGGTTGGCAGATCTCAGCTCACACTCAGTTTAAAAGTCTTTTCTTTTTATTTATTACTTGAAAGCATAGCCACTATTGATTTTTTATGTTGTTGTATGCGTATGATTTATTGATTATTACTGTTAAATATTTGGTATTGTGACATTCCTACACTTAACAAGTTGCTGACCTGCAATAGATTATTTACTAAGTGATAATCAAGTTAATTTGGTCTTGTGTGGTAACCTAACCGCTTCAACCAACCCAGCATCTTAATAATTTTTAATTCAGATTNGTGTTTCACATTTAATGATATATTCGGTGTCTATTCTTATCTAGAATTAATTTAGGCTAATAAGGCTACTGGCTAATAAGGCTACCGGGTAGAGTGCATTCTACATGCAGATTATTCAGTAAGTAAAATCTAAGCCAATTTCACGCTTTCTTGGGTTGACAACAGCCACAAAAGACAGAAAAAAAGGAGATGGGAGATAACTTACCAAATGAGACACAATAATAGCACCATCTGCATTTTCACCTGATGCTACGTCGCTCCTTTCTCGGCTTTCAAGGATCTATGGAAAACAAATATGATGAAAAATCCTGATATTCCTCTGAATCCTACATGGTTGTTGTGGTTACACTTACCATTCGGAAAATAGTGTGTGAGCGACTGCTCCGCTGGTTCATTTTAGTTTTTCCATAGTGGCGGTTCTCTAAAAAGGTAGGTTGTGCAGAAAAGACATTGCATGTAATAAATTGGTTTTGTGGGGCATCATTCTCATGTTCATCAATATACTTAGAATTTACTTTCTCCTTTCCGAATCCAGGCTAGGGCTTGTGCAGGAGATATAACCAGCTCCTCGGTCAGGTCAGCCACGTAGATGTTTTTCTGCACACGGAAATTATCACGAAAGAAGCACAATGATCATGTAAAACAGGATAAATGTTTGCCTTTGGATTGAACAAGAATATGAAGTATGTTACAGAAGAGCTTTGGCTCAGTATTATATTTTAAGTCCTCTCTTAGGAGGATATTTGTGTTGCACTTCCATTAAAAAATGGACTTGTAAACAACAACAAAAAAGAAATGCCGTGCTGCGATTGTATGCAAGTGCAGTTTCCGTGTACATAATTCCACATTTTTCCCCCCAGATAAATATCACTGTGACCTTTTGGCCTTTACCTTTGACCACTTAAATGTAATCAATTCATCTATGAGTCCAAGTGAAAACTGATAAAAAGTTGAAGAAATTCCATGAAGTTGGTGCTGAGATATCACATTCAAGAGGCCAAAATCACTTTTTGATTTTAGACACATTACCGTAAGCTGATTTTAAGATATTATGTTCAAGAAAAACATAAACATACTCTGAAGTCACCATGACCTTGACCTTTGGCTACCAAAAATAAATTAAGGATTCCTTCAAGGCATTCTGGTGATTTTATAGTGTTGTCTCCCTCATCTCCTCTTCTCTGAGTGTGGGAGTGAGGCAGTTTTCACTCACACACAGGGCCCACTCACTCACACATCCATCCATACAGTGCATCTATTAGCAGCACTCAATAGTGTTTGTTTAATTCACTTGAGTTTATGGGGCACACTTTTAAACACAAAAAGGCCAACATTTTGTGCACACTAAATAAATGGCCAACTCACTGTTACCTTTCCCTCTGGGTTCTGGGATTATCATGCAGAAGCTACGCAATTCAGTTATAGTAATCGGCCGCTTACAGTGATCAATTTGGTCTGGGACAAACTTGATCACTATAAGCGGTCATTTTATATAATTTATTGCAATCAATTCTGGGACATCACAGCTGAAGCAAATGAAGGATCATTATAGAGTTCCAAAAGGCTTAATTATGTTTCAACTCCACTAAAAACTGTCAGACAGCTTTAAAAACAACATTACGGGGTTTGATTATTGTGACATGGCTATCTTAACAAAATATACTGTTGCAGACAAATACTACATCATGCATTTTCTGTGTTGATTTTATGTATCACTCAACTCATAAAGAAGTCATCCGAAGCGGAATCTTGCTCTTTAAAAAAACTTTGATTGATAAATCCTAAAATCTTTAGGGGGCTAAATATTTCTGATTGCAACTGTATATTTAATAATGATCATCATACAATACAATAACGGTGCAGTTGAAATACAGTTCATTTTCTACATATTGCAGCTTTATGGATATTTATTTTAATATTTATTCATGAGAGTGTTAAGTTTGTCATTTTACTTTTGTTGAAATAACTTAGGTAAGAAAGACACAGTTAACCATGGTTGAATAAAAATAAATTAAAAATCTGTTTAATGTTTTCTGTTCATTATACCGAACCGTGACCTCAAAACCGACGTACATACCAAACCATGATTGTTGTGTACCGTTACACCCCTAAAAGCCTGCCTTAATTTTTTTAACAATGCACCAAGCGAGATGTTTCCTTGCAGTTTAGTGCTTTAGTTCTGAGAATTTCTTTCATAACCAAGCAAATTTGGTATTTACAATGATATAGCCTTAAGTGAATTGGTGGTGGACTGAAAGTTTGAATCAGATCGATTTGGGAAATCAGTGGCGATACCCAGGCCTAGTTAAGAAAGGTGTAATATTGTGGTGCCAAAAGTAGTGAAAAACTTCTGGGTGCACCTAAATTATGTGCTGGTGCAACTAAATTGATTCTGCTGCGGAGATCATAGGTTTTGGTTTTATCAGCACAAACTCTCCTGACATCGTCAGAGTCTTCTACGTGTGAAAGTGCTCTTTCATCCAGAGATTTTCATTTTCTTTCTGTTTTTTTTTTCCTTTCATTTTTGCATTTGTCAGACTAGAGGCTTTCACTTTGAAAATTGTGTTCACAAATACAACTTCTCCAGAGAAACTCCCAAGGAGTTCGGTGCATGTTTGAAAGCAGCTTTCTGCTACTTGCACATGTTGAAAACCAAACCTTGAAAGATTTATAAGGAATCTGGATTCAACAAAACCCAAACTTGAAAATGGTCCACTTACATTTATTGTCTCTCTGACTTCCAGTGGTTTTCGCTTCCAGCTGTCAACAAGCAGATCAGTCACAGTCTCGTTGTAGATTTCCATATAAGACACCCTGAGGAGGAACTCCTTCTTTGGACACTTTGGAGAAACAGCAAAGCACTGATTAGAATAAACAGTAATTAATCAACAATCTGCAGTACAACACAATTCTTACATTTTTAATGGTTTGGAAAACATCTTCCACAGCCAGCGGTATCACTCCAGGTATATGGTCACTCCCCATCATGGTAAAGGTCTTTCCAGAAGAAGTCTGCCCGTAAGCAAATATGGTTCCTGTAGAACAAGCAGGAACAGATAAACAACACAGTTCAGCTACAATAACTAGGATGGAACAACATGCTACCACAGGATAGGTCTGACAATACTTAGCTTCCATTACATACCATTGTATCCCTCAACAGTGGAAACAACCAGGGGCTTTGCAATGTCCTGGTACAGCTGATTGGTTGTTTCTTCAGCTGTGAATACTCGATCTGTGAACAATTACCATAACGTTATACAAAATGGCTCAAAGGAATCACAATATCCTGGAAACCCATTTCTTAATCCCACACATGCTGCTTTACATACCAAAACTGAAGGTCTTGGTGGAATTCCCATCATCGATCTGATGAATTGATTTCTTATCGGTTTTCCAGAACAGCTGGACAGACTCTGCATTCTCTGATGCTGCACTTTCTTCCCTGTAACAAGGACATATATTCAAGAAATATATGGAAACATGAACAGACTGCCTTGACAATAGCTTCAAGAGACAATGTTTTGGGTTGCCTCTGTGATCCCTGGTAAACTGAGAAATATCAGCCTCAACTAAATTCTATATTCGGAAGGAAAATAACATCAAGCATTACTTTGTCCACAATATCATCCCAGTGATTATGTAGTAAAAAGAAAACAGGTGTAATGTTTTAATTAAATGTTTTTGTATTTATAACCTTTGCGTTCATTGCATAACAAAAACCATGTGATGCAATACACACAGCACCTCATAGGAAAATGCTTTAGTTTTTTGATCTTGTGGCATTATTGTTACAATAAACGAACAAGCTTTTACTGAATCTTTTATGGTTCCACATATGCTCAATTCATTTCTTGTTAAAGTTGGCACACAATGTTAAAGGAGAAAGTAGTGTTTCATCTGATGAGCAGGCGATTACTCATCTGAGAATGGGTATGGCTCAATAAGCTCATCAAAAGAAACAGAATTTTGAATTGATTTGTTTAAAGGATTACCTTTATACAAGGAAATACAGTAGTTGTACCAGAAACCTCAGAACAGATGTAGTTTGATTGAAATTAACATAAAAAACTTAAGGTGATGGACAGTAGTCTCTCTCCCACACACTCACTCACTCACTTACACACTCACTCACACA